CTCTTATCAGTATTCGCTTTGTGTATGACAAATGCGTTGATGCCAGATAAGTTTATAAGATGAAAAAATACAGCCAGTGGCCATCTCTTTGTTCTTCTTCCAACATTATAATTGCTGCAAAGTTGGTCATTACAATCCACACCACCTTTGGTGCTATTGTAATAAGTAATTATTTCTGGCTTTTGAGCTCTGGCTGTTGTTTCGTCAATGGCGTTATCATTGTGCATGGTGGAAAGTAAAACAACAGCTTTCCTTGGCTTAGGAACATATGAGACTATAGTCATTTGATTATGAAATCCGAAAACTGAACTACATGTTGGTCTATTTTTGTTTGGCAAAAATTCAGTTGGGATATCAGGCTTCCTTTTATTCAATGTACCAACAAGAGTCAATTTATATTCAGGCGTTAGCAACTCCTTAGCCAGTTTTGTACTTGTGTACCAATTGTCAGTTGTTATGTTTCGACCGCTGCGTTTTATTGGTTCAACTAGACGTTTTACAATCTCATCTGGAGAATTGGATATCTGATATTCTCCATCTGGTTGTTTTCCAGAATAAACTTCAAACTTGCACAAGTAATATGTTTTCGAGTCCACCATTGCTTGAACTTTTATTCCGTACTTGTTTGGTTTATTAGGCATGTAAACCTTCCCTCTAAAGCGACCACGAAAACCAACCAACTGTTCATCGATAGTTACATTCTCGCCGGGGCAATAAGCAGATAAAAACTTACTCTCTATAATTTGACACAAATATCTTATCGCTGCCATATTATCAATTTTTAGTCTTTCCGCTCGATCTGACGTATTATCAAATCGCAGACATCTCAACAAAAATAGAAAACGTTTATAAGACATTGTTAGCCGAAACATTTCTACGCCTGATCCATCTTGTGCCCATAAATCAATAAAATTCAAGTGCGACCCTTTTAGGACTCCAGCCATAATCAGTAAGCCCAAAAATGCATTAATTTCCGTATCATCAGTAGAGGTTGCATCACGATCTCTTCCGAACTTTTCCTTTATTT